AAAGGGGGGGGGGAGTGAGGGAGGGGGTAGGGAGGGAAAGATGCACTGAGGAGCCAGGGACAAATAAAATCCTCAAGGGCACACCTCCAGTGAACTACTTCTTTTAGCCACACCCCACCTGCCAAGAGTTAGGGTACAGTAGTCCATTCAAATTATTAATCTATCAAATGGATTAATCCACTGATTATGTTTCAGCTCTCTTAATCTGATCATTTCACCACTGGACTTTCCTGCATTAACACATGAACTTTTCAAGTGACACTTCCAAATCATAACAATGAAGATCTCTACCCCTATCCTATTAGAAAACAATAAATACATTATACCCAAATTATCACTGCCATTCCTTTTCCTCAGTTGAATGAAAAGTATTTCATATCCAAAAGGAAACTCAAAAAACTCATTCTATATTTTAGGTCAAAGGATAAGATCGAACACTGATGCAACACATTCCTGGAGTGCCCAGTCAGAGAGAACTGACATTAAAAAAAAACTCAGAAAACATGTCATGTAATTAATCACAAAGCAAAATTTTCCTTATGGAAGTGAAATAAAATACAGAAGTGAAACTAAAATCTGATAAGTAAGCAAGGCTTGTTTTTTTTTTTTGCCTAAAACTTTAAAAAATATATTCAATCAAAATAATCATTAGTTTTATGATACTGCCTTTTACCCAAATTTTCTTGTTGTAATCTCCATTGAAGATCCAACACATCCATTTCGAATTACAGGCACAATTCAAGTATAACAACTTTATTTCATCTTTGGCATCATTTGGTACAACAAAATGAACAAATCAAATGAAAGTTAAACATTGCAAAACATGCAAATACAGAAAAACAAGAACAATTTAAGTACTGAAAAATCAAAAGACTTTTTGTGGATTGTAATCAATTCAATAATGAACAATGAAATTCATAGCATCCTAAAGCATCACATAATACCTTTTCCACATTTAATAAGATTCAGCCTCAGAATTTGATAGAATATTTATCAGAATAAAAGCTGAAAACCACCATAAAGCATTTAACAAATTCTCTACACCTTATAGTTTGTGTACCTCAACTACTGTGTCAAAACCATGTCAGTTGGGTGGAAAAGTTGGGTGGAAAAGTCAGCTTTCAGGGCAATTAGGGATACATGGCAGCCTGGCCTCAGTTGTCAAAACCACCTGCCTCCAACTTGCATTTATATGTCCCATGTACAATGACATGTGTTTCGAGACATGGAAACGGTTGGGAAATCCTGTAGAAATAAATCTACCCACATACAGTAGTATCCAATCCTTCTTTTAATCTCTAGAGAAATATTTTTTAAAATGTTACTTAACCCATCATTCTTAACCAAAGAGGATTCAAAATTCTAAACTTTTTAATGACATATATTCCTGTGTTTTTATAAATTTTTTTTCAAAAACAGGACTTCTGATATACTCAATTCCCACTTTTTGGAAGACTTACAACCTCTAGAAATTTCAACAGAAACAGGATACTACAATACCCACTAACCTATCATTACAGTGTTCTACTGAAGAGGAATTTCCTTTTCTAGAGAAAAATCATCAAATAAGAAAGAAAAAGAAATATAACTCAGTTTGATTCAAAGGGTGCTTAAAAAATATAAAGTGAAATCTAAGAACAAAGCTAGGAAAGGCAAATACTGCCTATGTGACTTGCCTTACAAATAACAAAAACATCCATTTGTCAGAGTAATTTTTCCAGAATGAAATCGTATTAAGTCATCCCCATAACTGAAATTCTTTAACACTCTGTAAAGTCTACAAGATGAAGTCTGAGCTTCCTAGACTGTAAGTGACCTGAAGCCTGACTTCCTCTCTCCCAGCTTTCTCTCTCAATCTCCCTTCCCACCTCTGCTCTACAGTATGTTCAACTGCTTAGTAACACTTCCTTGGAGTCAAATCTTAACGCCTTTCTCATGGTGTTACATTTACCCAGAATGTTTTATCTGTGGTACTCTCTACACACACTTTTTTTTTAATGGGAACGGCTCAAATTTCATCTAAAAATATTAATACACAAATAGCTACCATATACTAAGGACATTACTTTAGTAACATACAAACATACAATATTTATCTAGTACCTCAGTGCCAGGAATAGTGTTCGACACTAGGAATTTAATAGTTTTTGCCCTCAAGGAGTGTACAGATTAGAGAAAGATGGGAGAACAAACAAGTGGATGATTTTTAATATAGAATGATAGATACCAGAAAGAGGAAAGAGGAGAGCTATGGAAAAGTACAATGGGCTCATCTAGCAAGTGAAGTGGTACAGAAACCACAGGAAAGAGCTCTTAACTAGAAAGCCAAGCTGAAGGTGATTTAAAAAAATATATATAATTTTAAGTGTGAAGTAAGAAGTTTGGACCTAACTTTAATACCAGTGTTTAGACCACAATAGTATTATTCACTCTTTGCAGCTCCTCCTTCTTTACAACAAACACACAAATACTAATATTTTAACAAATAAAATATAAAAATAAGTCAGTAAAATGGCATAGCCATGCCCCAAAAAATGTGTTAAATCTCTCCGGATCAGAAATCTAACAGGAACACAAAATATGAAACAAGCTAAGTCCAATATGGGCCCCAGAGCAGGAAAAAGCAGCAGGAAGTCTGACCCTATGGGATATAACTGTAAATAAAAGTGTCCCATATAAAGCAGGGTCAGTAGCCAGGCTCTTAGCTTAAAACCAGGGACTGCTTTTCTTAGATTCTAAAATAGACTGAAAAAGGCTTCTGCTAACTTTGCTGAAGCTACCACTTATAGGAGTTGCTGACCTAATGCCAGCTGACTTGGTGACTGAATCTGTGATGTCCCCAATGTCACCAGGGGCCAGGGCTCTATCTACTAACATAGACCTGATACTGATATGGGAACTCCAAAGCCAGGCCGAGATAACTACAAATCTGCTAGAGCAGCAGGGAAAATCACAAAGAGAAAGAGGGAGACTATTGGACAAAAGGAAAATAAATAAACAACACATCAGAATGTGCCTGCAAAATTACAGAACATGATAAAAACACCAATAATATCAACAATCATAACAAATTCACCACAGATAATTTTTTAAGTTATCAAATGATCTAGAAATTACTTTAAGAATATAAAAGATTCATAAAAAGTTAAAAAAAACTAACAAAAGAATGGAACAATTGTAAAAATAAGGAGAAATGAAAAAGAACCAGTGGACATAAAAAAGAACCAAATAAAAATATTCCAGGACTGGGGCTGCAGCTCAGTGGTAAGGCACCTGACTAGCATGTGAGAGGCACCAGGTTCAATCCTCAGCACCACATAAAAATAAATAAATAACAGAAAAAAAAATCTTTAAAAAAAAAAAAAATCTAAGTGAGATAAAACCATTGTCACTTTGAAATAAAATATGTTAACACCATTAGGCACCTAACAAGCCATCTGCCTTCAACCTCACAGGGATCCAATTTTTTAGTGTACAAGACACTGTGTCGAATTCTGAATTCAAAATTAAAAACATAGAATACCTGTCCTCAAAAACACTCACATTTTCAACAGATGCTACCAAAACCTTAACATTACATATTAGAAGAAATCTTGGTTTTTCAAACATGAAAGCATTTTTTAAACTAAAATGCTTGCTGCTTCTGTTTTAATTTTCATGAACTAATGGCCATCTTCACTAGAATTAGCACTTTACATTAGATAAGCATTTTTATAAAATTTCATGAATGGAACTGAAATAAGAAAAGCCACTTCTTTCATAATCTGGTGTATTTGAATGCATCTACCAACCATCCTTGTTTATTCAAAGTATTCCAACAGGAAAAAGGATACCATTGAAAAGCTTTGAAAATCAAAGACCACTTCTTGCAATATTCTTGGTAGAAAACTCATACTTCACAATAACAAAAACTTAATTTTGCTGGGATATAGTTCAGTTGGTAGAGTGCTTGCCTTGCATGCATAGGCCCTGGGTTCAATCCCCAACAAAAAAAAAAAAAAAAAACTTCATTTTATCAACTACCAAATTAATTACATCGATTCAAGAAAAGCTGCATCTAATTCATATGAAGATAAATATATATCAATATAAATAATATGCAAAAAATTAACCTCTCTAACATTATATTCCAATAAAGAAATGTTCACTACATCTCCAAGAATTTTCATCATCAGAAAATCTACACTTTGAAACTGCCATAGGATTCTAATAGGATAAAATTTCATTTCTTCCTCACCCTCTAAAAGAAAACAGTTAACACAAAATAATAAAACCAGTTCTGTTCACAAGAGAAGTGGTCAAAAATGGACAGAAAGTATTATATATATATCATCTTCTTTAAACCGAGAAGAAAAACCTATATCAAATCTGGTTAAGGGGGTTGGGGTTGTGGCTCAGTGACAGAGCGCTTGCCTTGAACATGTGAGGTACTGGGTTCAATCCCTAGCATCACATAAAAATAAATAAACAAAATAAAGATATTGTGTCCATGTAAAAATAAAAAATATTTTTTAAAAAATCTAGTTAAATCCAGGATAGCCTTGGTTTCTTATTCCATCAAATGCATTGATAGAGATATTTTTATTTTGTTTTGTCTTGCTTAAATATATTAACCTATGTTACCCAATGATTAAATTTCACACAATAAAACCTCTCTCAATTGTGGCCAATGTCAATATTCCCTACTTATATTTCTAAAGGTTCATTTTCCAATGGCTAGTCATTAGAAATTTTCAAATGACAGATAAGCCAAGAAGCTAATGACACAAATTTCCTCATCACATCTAACTTCTTAGAATAAATCAAACATCAAAAAGCATCTCCTTGCTTTAATACAGACAAGCATATATATAGTATTGGGAAGAACCAGATTTTTCAATCTCTGAAGAAGGGACATAATTCCACTTTGTCTAGTAACACATTTTTTTTCTTTTTTAAAGAATAATTAATACTGCAAATGCTCCTGAGACCGCTGAAATGAATCAAAGAAGCACACTTACTCATGACTGGAAATGTTTCTGTGTGTTGTCCCAATCAGATACTAAACCAAAATCTGCTGTCCAAGGTTTCTCAGAGGAATACATGTCCTATTCTGGAAACAAAAGAGAAAGGAATGGTATTTTCGAAAGGTCAATATTTACAATAAGATTTTATAAAAGGAAATGGAAGAAAATAATTTCATTTCAAAATTTACCTATTTCCAGAAAAACCCCTTGTTACACCATTCTTTTAGAACATCATGTTAAATTCACATTTCCCTTTTTGTGAAACAAATTACTTCACAAATAAATAATATATAGAAAGTAATTACCACACAGAAGTTCATTAACAAGTGTCCTTTGGCTTTAATACTACAAACATATTTCTTTCCCATTCTCAGCTAAGTCATATAAAGAAAGCACTCTATCTAAAGATAGCACGTAAAGCTCAATCAATGTATTTTGATTGCATATAAATGATTTATAAAAGTCATGAAATAAAGATCACCAAAGTTATGGCTATAGACTTTCTCCAATAAAGGTCATCTTCCTCATTACAAATGTAAAATGAGCTCATTGTATTATAATAATAAGGGAATAACAGTAAAGTACAAAAAAAATTCTCTGTAATACCCCCTACATTTACCCAATCACGTGGGCACATTTCTCTTCAAGGCACATTTTCTAAGTTATTTTTAAAATACTTGATAAACACTAAATTAAAAATGTGTATTTAATTATTTTCACTCAAACATAACATAAAGCACCATCTTGTATTTAGTATTAATGTAGTGTCACCCCTTTTCTCCACAGAAAAGTCTTAACTGGACTTCTCCAGAAATCTTCACCATGGCTGATTTTAGGACTGTCAGCAAAAGAGTTTCTACAAAAGAATTCAATGTAGATAAACTTCCTATTTTCGTATTGTCTTATGTGGCCAAAGGCTGGGAAGGAATCAGCACTCCAAGTGCTGGACAACCCCTTAATAGTTTTTCACAAACATGTATCCAATATAGTAGTTTGTAGAAATGTGTAAACAAGGCCACTGGCCTTGAGCTGGAGCTTCACAGAGATGTCTACATTTCTAAAATAAGAGAAGTTACCAAGTGGGCTCCATGGTAACAGCTGGCAGGGGGAAGAAAAAGGGGAGAAGAAGCTCTCTGCTTCTCAGGTGTTGTCCTTGAACGGTTAACTTGCCCAGAACAGTGAAAGAAAAAAACTGTTTTTAGGTGAAGTTCTGTAGACTGTGAACTTCTGAGTACCTCCCCTTACATATAAAATTCTGAAACTACCTGAACTTGGGGTTCAGGGGATTGATTGATTACAGCAGAAGCTGTGCCCTCTGAACCTGGCTGCAGCCAAATAAAATTGTTTCCTGCTATCTTCAGTGCCTTACCTCATCAGTACCTACAACATGAACACAAGCTTAATACTTTCCCTAAGATTTACATTATAAATCTTGCTCTTTATCAACATATTTTTAAATAAGAGATAATACCAAGCCTATATCTAAACATAACCATGGTTCCACAAATGCCTTGCCTAAATCTAATATATATAATTCCACTGATAAGATCAATTTCAATACAAAATTCACACTTGTGGTACCTCATGGGCAACTTTCTTCATAAACCAGTGAGCTATTTTTTGCAATCACAAAAAGTTATAGTTTCTTAATATCTATATCACTTAAGAAAACAGTATACTTAGGCCCTCTGCTTTTGAATCAAAATTGGGTAATGCTTTTTGAAGAAATAATGCTTGCCCCATCTATATACTTACTCATTCTATGTAATAATATACATGAGAAGTACATAGTTACAAAATGTAAAACCACTGCATAAGCATTTGTAAGTACAGCATGGCTCAGCCACTGTAATTAGCAGAGGCATACAATCATAGTTCTGCCACATAATCACCTGATCGCTATCCCACATGCTTTCTTCTTTATCTGTGCACTAGTAAATGATATTCAGATAACCCAATTACCCCAAAGGAAATGAAAAGTTGTATGGAAAATCTAAAACAACATATAATCACCAGGTTAGTTTTTAGAATACATGATAAACATTTCTCACAATAAATATACTTTCTTGACAGTACTTGATTAAGTCTGATTTGTCTTCCCTCCTCAAAAACATGCTAAATGATGACAAGGACAGCCCCACCTTATAAATACACACTGTAGATTAGACATTCACAAAATGACTCAGGTGTCCACTTACATTTATATATGTAGTCAAGTCTCTTTGCCCAGGTACTTTCCTTCTTGTTCATTTTATATCAAAAATAATTTTTATCTTAAACTTAAAATTCCTAAATGGTAACATCAAAGCACCTAACACTAAGTAATGTCCCCTCCCTGCCCAAAACCATAGCCAAATAAATACTTTTTTTTAAGTTGTTGATAGACATTTATTTTATTTATTTATATGTGGTGCTGACAATTGAACGCAGTGTCTCACACGTGCCAGGCAAGTGCGCTAACCCCTGAGCAATAGCCCCAGATGCAATAAATACTTTTTCAAGGGTTTAAATTCTTAAACATAAAGAATTTTATCAGTACTAAAAACACTTATCCTCAGAAACACCAAGATAATAAGATTTTAAAACACCAGATTTATAAACTTACATCTAAAGTAACAAATGCACATAAGTCTTATAGTAAGAAATATGCATATGTGAGAATTAATGTAAAATATCATGCAGTAGTTCCTAGGAACATTTACAAAAAACTTATAGCCAAAGACACTTGTTCAAGATTCTTTACATTAATCGCAGCTTTAAAATGTAGATCCCAATTACCTACTTTCACAGTAGGTAGTCTACCAATTATTTTAAGCAACAAGGCAGTAAAGTAGCACAGTAGATAAAATGTTTGTTCCCTTTCTCCTCCCCTAAACACTACCACTGGATATACAAAAAAGAAAAAAAAACTTTCTAATTTGCACCCCATCCATCCCATCCAAGTATGATAAAATAATGTATCTTAAATCCACATTGTCACTAGGAGGTATTACTGGGATACTTCTGCAAAATGTAGCCTTTAATCTCATTTTCAGGCACTTTGGCTTGGGGGAGGGGGCTGTCTTGTTGGAGGGGGCTGTCTTGTTGGAATGTGGGAGAAACTGGCTACAAAGTTCTAACTAGAAGCTGTAAGAGCTGAGTTTGCACTGCACCAGGAGAGATGCACACCAGGTGGCTGCTCTCCCAGAGTAGATACCTGGCCCATAACTGAAGCCAACCCACAGCTTATAGCCAAACCCCAACAAATCCAGTCAAACTCAGCAGAGATTACAGATCTGTGAGCTAGAAATAAACATTTGTCATGTGCCACTGAAAGTTTGCTCTTGTTACCCAGCATTATTATAGCCAAAGATGACTAATAACAAAGAATAAACATAAAGGCCCATTAGCAACTAATGAAATATTTTAAAAATTTGACTAAATTTTCAAGTTATAAAGGCTATATTTAAATATCTAGCCATATACTATTCATAAAAACATACCTAAATAAGAAGGACACATAGAGGCTGGGAATAAAAATATTAAAAATGTATATTAAGGGGCTGGGGCTGTAGCTAGCTCAGTGGCTGAGCACTTGCCTGACACATGTGAGGAATTGGGTTTGATTCTCAGCACCACATACATATAAATAAAATAAAGGTATTGTTTCCATACACAACTAAAAAAAATTTCTTTAAATGCACATTATGAAAATGCTAAACAATGTAACTACAGAAACTCTTTCACATCTGTACTAAGATATATATTGACCAATGCTAACAGCAATGCTATTTATAATACAAAAAATGGGAATTCCACCAGCAGAAGGGTGAATAATTATGCCACCTTTATACAAATAAGTATTATAAAGCAATGAAATGAATGAACCGTGTATATCAGCAAATAAATCTCACAAATATTATTGATATACACTTATATTTACTAGATTTTATGCACATAAAAATATGTATACATATACAATGAATATTAATATCAATGGTACAATATTTATATAATGTTATAAAATACATGAAGCTAACAATAGTTTAGGGACATATACATATATAATGAACTAAAAAAGTAACAACAGAGTGCTAGACCTCACTCTGAGGCTGATGATTTCCCTAAGCCAGGAATAAGATGAAAGTAGGGAGAGGTCATTCAGCAAGAGACTGGTAATGTCCTACCACTTCAGCTGAAGGAGGAATGGAATATACATCATTATGCAATAGGCAGTATATTATGCAATATGTTACCTGTAGTCTTAAAACATCAAGAGTTTTCTTTATGTAATATGTTACATATAGACTTTTGTATGAGTATTGTATTTTATAGTATTTTAATACAAAAAAACAAACAATTTCCAACAAAATTCAGAAAGGAAATGATTATAAATAAAAGTAACATAAATATGTATAACCACATGTATAAAGAAGTTAAATGCAGTTTTAATTTTTAAGCCATAATTAAGAAGCAGAAATGGTTGTAATGACATTTATTCCTTAAAAGACAAATACAAGTAATAGCCAGTTCTATTACAAATTGCAAGATAAACTTTCTGTCAAAAGAGATTTATGATTATACATTATCCATGTGTAAAAAGCACTGGCTATGAGCTGGAGCTACAGCTGTGGTAGAGCGTTTGCCTCGCACATGTGAGGCACTGGGTTCGATCCTCAGCATCACATAAATAAATAAACAAATAAAGATATTATTTAAAAAAAAAAAAGCACTGGCCACCCAAACAGTTGTATTATTTGTACTGTATGATCTCAGCTATCTGACCATCGAAGCTTCTGATCTTACCTTCACAAGCTAAACAATATTAGCTCATTTTCTAGTAGAAATTCCCAGGACCTATTCTCTAAATTGCTACTAGGTGAACTGTCATTCCCTCCTCTACCCCCACCCCACGGCTCCCCCCCCCCAAAAAAAAAAACTCGTGAAAAATTCCTTCACTGAAGCATTATTTGTAACAGAAAAAAATTATAAGATTCAGTGTTCACTAATATGGCTAACTGAATTATTCATTCACTTACATGTAGTAAACTCCCTCACATCCATTAAAAATGTCTCAAAGAAACTTAATGACAGAAAATGAATGAAC